AGACTCGCCACCCTCACAGTAGGGAGAGCAGAAGGACCAGGGAGTGGCACTGAGTTCTTCTGTATTTTGGGGAGAAGAGGGGTAGGTTTCTTAGTCTCCTCAATATTCTCTTTTGAGTCTCCAGGCGATCTTAAATTACCAGAAAGCTGGAAGGACTGATTTTGGTGATTTTTAAAATGTTATTTGCTGTAGAGTGCCTCCTATACTTGAAATCTCTCCTAGAAAGGAATTCTAAAGGCCAGAGCTGACGCTGTAGCAAAAATGTATTCACAGCACCACTCCTGCGGAAGTCAGGCCTCAGCGCTCTCCCGCGCCTGCCCAGGCTCCGGGGCCGCGTGATGAACGATGATGCTGGTGGACAAATGGGAAGTAAACAGCACACACGAGCTCATTTCAACCTCCATTAGATGCACAAGGGGGAGAAAATCAATGTTTGACAAATGAAAATGACAGAATCAGTAAGGGGAGACATTTATTTTCCATTTTCTAGGAGGCCTTTGCACACAATGGACTGTTAAAACCAGGAAAAATAACCAATGAGAACACACTCAATAGGCTCTATGTAAAATACATTATCACCAACTACAAATGTAGAACAGAGATGAATTGCCTTGTTTGTTCAAAAGACATGTAATGGTTTCTTTAATTTAGGGTAGGTCGTTTTCTCCTTTGAGACTTGATTACACTTTGGAAAGAAGATATGCACACGAATTGAGCACCCGACCTGAGGGTCTCACTACCTTTAGTGGACAGGCAGATCATTCTCTCATCCACTCATTCATTCATTCCTTCACTCATTCATTCATGCATGCAGCAAACGTTTATCAAACACCCACAATTGCCAGGCATTCCAGGGCTGGAGGATGGAAATATTAATTCCCTGGGGCCTTGAGAGGAAACAGAAAAATAGCAAAAAACAGCTTGAGGTGCTGAAGGTCCCAGTAGAGGGAGCTAGGGGACGGGGGGTGGGGGGGGGCGCATAGGTTTTCCATCCTGTGGAGTATCTTCAACAATGGTGCTGCCCTAATAGACAGCAGCATGCTAATGAGGGACCAGCAAACGCTCCTCCCTCCTTTCCATTATGGACAGCAGTGGTGGGGCGGAAGTCACAGTGGGATGGTGGCTAGGAACTCTCATGCCTGCAGTGCTTTGCATAGACCAGGGACACACTTAGTGCCTCCGGTGACAGCGTCCGGCAGGCCTTCGGGAGACACCGCCTCTGAGTCGCTGTTTATAAACTGACCCACCAGGGAGCAAAGCAACCACTCCCTGCTCAGTGTACTAAGGATGTTACTCAGACTTCCCTTACTTCTTTGTTAAATAACAACCAGGCTAACTGTGATGAAGTAGAAGCAAACACCAAGTCAAGCTGCATCTCTGAAACTTACTAACAGCGTTACTTGAAGAAAATAAATGTACCCTTTCATTGAACACCATCATTTTCATCCATAAAATGGGAATAATAGGACTCCACTCACAAACCCCTGTGAAGGTCAGAGAAGACGGCGTGTGCACCTGTGCCAGGGCCTGGCGTCTGGAAGATGCACGTTAAGTTGCTGACGGATCAGATGGAAGACATCCGCACACTTGCTTCTCCCTCTTGTCTCCTGGCTGTGCATCTCGCTCTTGCTCTTTCCTGATGAGAGGTCTTTGAGAGCAGGCAGTGTTCAGCCCCTCTCCTGGGATCGCAGAGTCTGCGGGAAAAATGGTGGAGAGGTCAATGGATGGCAAGCTTGGTTCCAGGACTTTCTTTCCTTGAATCATCATTCCATCTGCACTGAAGTTGTTGCAGATGGCATTCTTATTTTTGAAACACATCTATCTGTTCAATGTGAAACTATGGCATTTTTACGGATTTGTTTGTGAGAAGAGGTAAATAATAAGTAGCTATAATAATACCTGGGCACATTCAAAAAGAGTTTAGACGCAGTAGCATACCCTTCCCAAAGTAAGCCTCCCTGAGGAAATGTGCTGCAGACTGATGAGGCTGGGAAGAGAGAGGATTAAACGGCAACATTTTAAAAATAAGTGCCTGTTGTAACCGGTAAGCTGATCCTCATAAAACTAACGAAGCCACATCACTTAGGGCTCCAGAGGAGAGCGATTTAGAATCACTCGATGGCATTTCCATTCAATGTACCAAGTTGCAGTCTCATTTACACTTTTCTATGACAGGAGCATAGACAACCCTGAGAGGAAAGGCACGAATGGGCTAAACCCATTCTCCCAGGGGTGGGAGGGTAATTTACCTCAATTCCTTAGCACTGTCAGTGAATCCGTCTGCCCCCCTTAAGCTTCGAAGGTGCTGACAGGTTGGCCCTAAGCTTGGCCCAGGGTTCAGCGTAGCCTCTGTGGATGCCGACCTGTGGCTCAGTGAGCCGTTTTACACAGTACAAATCATTAAACAGCATGTGTTATATATTTTCGGAGGTATGTCTGTAACATTAGGATGTGTACATGGGTAATTCTAGCCAAAGGGGGATGGGAGTGACTAGAACATCCTCGGCAGCAGTGCAGGCCTGAACGGGGCCAGCCCGGCGGTCCGTGGTAGAAGAGGCCGCTTCCATGTGCACCAGTCATCATGCTTTGCCTGATAATTACTAGCACATAGACAAGTCCTTCCTGCCTTAACTAAATGTAAGGATCCAAGTTCAATGTTCGCATTAGTTCCTTTAGGTCTGAATGTTAACAAATGCTATCCTACTCCTTTATCACTTGCCACACATTTATTGAGAGCATCTACTATGCGTTAGACATTGTGTTAGAAACTGAAGAAACAGTATTTTTAAAGTGAGAAAATAGTTTATTAAAACGGGTAAAATTAATGTGAAATATAAATATATTTCAGATGGATCCCCATGAGCTAGCGAGGCACTACAGGAGTTCTACGAAATTTCAGGTAGGTGACTTACAACCTCAAAATTATTCAAGCAACCCACTGCCATTTTACTTTTAAGTCCCACCGTACATTTCTACCCGAAAACCTGCTTCTTTCACAACTGTAGCCTTGGGGACAGTTTGCACAGGTGAGGTTTATCCGACAGGGGCGACCCCGGTGGCTCCCCAGCGGTGCACGTGTGCTTCCTCGGGGTGCAGATGTGTCGCTCCACATGGGGGTCCTTATCCACAGAACAGAAGGTTAGGGCCACACTGACTCTCGGAGTTTGACGACAGTAGGGAGTGTGGCTGAGCTTTGTCCTGCCGGCACGGAATGCTGGCCTCATTCATGTGCCATGATGACGTAAGAGCCTACACAGTTACTTCTACTCTTTCTTTCTTGTTCTGTATGAAAATAAGAAATAGAAGAGAAGCGAGTAGTTAAGTGACACGGCATGGCCTCTGCCTTTCCTCCAATGGCAGCATAATCTTGTTTTTCACCCGCAATCATGTACAGCCAAGCGCTTGTTTCCTCCCATCCGTTCCCCCTCACTGTGACACACAGGCAGGGATTTGGGGGTCACCCAATGTCACCCAATCTGGAGGAGTGAACTCCAACCTCCCATTTCAAGGACAGCACTTTAGTGGCCTCAAATTTTGTTTTAAAAAGAGTACAAATCTGGGTTTGGGTGCCAAATTGTCTCACATGGTGATGTGTGGTGATTAAAATGCCTTTCCGTGTGTTTTTATCTCCAGCTCATTTTCTTTGTAAACAAGGCCGCCTGCTCAGACTCACTCGTTAAAAAGCTGCTCCACGTGGCTGCACTCTACCGAGAGGACTGTCCCCCCTCTAAGTGCCCCAAGCTCACTCCACACTCATCACTGTCGTGACTGTGATGAGGGGAAATTTACTCGTATTTAATTGGGTTGATAACGATAAATTGTTGCGTTTCTTTAGTTGTGGTCGCTCCTGCTTTCACCTGCCCTGAGCCCTCCCTGCTCACTGGGCACGGAGTAGAGGCACCTGTGTGCTTGGTGACTGCGCTCACGGCCTGGTAGCTTCTGAGGACAGACGAGCATCTCAGCCTGGTCACCCGGGCTTTGCAGGTGCCGTGCACAGCGCACGGTGCTGGTCAATACCACTCAGTTCACATCATCGAGAAGTGAGTCATCACACGACTCCCCACACATGTCAACATCGACCAGGACTAGGGCCCGGCTGCTGAGAGAAGTCAGGTGGGCAGGTGGATAGTCAGCGAGTAAAAGAGCTTCATGCGGACAGATCGGGTTTTTACAGGTTAAAAAAAAAAAGATGATTATGGCCTGGCCAGTGTGGTTCAGTGGTGAGCATTGACCTATGGACCAGGAGGTCAGGGTTTGATTCCTGGTCAGGGCACATGGCTGGGTTGTGGGCTCCATCCACAGTGTGGGGCATACAGGGGGCAATTGATCAATGATTCTCATCATTGATGTTCCTCTCTCCCCCTTTCCCTTCCTCTCTGAAATCAGTAAAAGCATATTTTTTAAAAAAGATTCATATGATCTGAACCAGAAGGCACAGCAGCTGGGGCAGCGCCGCCTTTCTCACTGGGGAGATGTTAGCAGCTGCTCCTTCACCCACAGCTGGTCCTGAGGCTCAGCCTCTGCCGGTAAAGCCCAGGGTTTGATGATCCGATGCCGTTTGCAAACCAGAACTGTCAGTAACTGGTTTCTAATAGCCCGTGGGGTCCACGCGAACCGGAAGTGCCTCTGCTCTTGGGGAGCACAGCCGCCCTGAAGTGCTGGCCCAGCTCAGCGCCTCCCCTTCCATACGGTGGCCCCACAGGACGCTTTCCCTGCCCTTAATTGTCTTAAATAAATAACTTTTAATGTACCCACTTTTCAGTGTCACGTGAAAACTAATGAAAGCGAATGATCCTCTTACGTAGAGAAGTGTGTCATCGTGCGATCGGGCAGGCCCTCAAGAATGATGCTGTCATTCAGCATTGCCAGGGAGGGAGGCCAGGGCATACAAACGCAGGACAGACCCAAGCTGCACGTGTCCGGTGACCCTCACTGCAACGCCCTCTCCCGCCGCCACGCTGGTGGCTGGAAACCGCCCGATTCCTCCTCCCGCTCCGCACAGCGGGCGCGCAGCTCCCGCCCCAGCCCCCTGTGATCCCAGGTAGACAGGCAGGAAGCACGGAGGCGGCCGCCTGGGCCCGCACCGTCATCAGCGTGAGCACCGCACAACTGGCTGGAACAGAAACATGTCACTGCAGGGAGTGTGCAGGGCTTTCTAAAATCAGGAACAGACTTGCTTTTCAGTCCCGGAGCCCCGTGTTTAAAACTGGTAAAGTGTAGTCCCGCATCAGTAACCACGCCACCTCCGCAAGACCTGAGCGGGTGCAGGCGTCCTGCGAGCTCAGAGGGTGCGGCCCCCCGGGAGGGCTCAGAGGCGTGAGGGGAATGGAGCACCTGCGTGGGCTGCAGCATAGCCACCTTGTCTCCATGGGCTGTTGCTTCCAGCGGCACCACGTGTTTAACTGCAGGCAGTTTTGTGTTAAGCACCCAGAACGGTGATGGTGGCTGTCAGCTTCTACACACGTGGGTATAACCCACGTCCAAAAAGCACGTGGACACGACATAACCGCACACGTGTTCTCCCAACAGCTGGATGTGGCGTCAGTGATCCCATTGGATGTGTTTGGCCTCTTCTTTGGCTTTAATCCAATATTTAGGATAAACAGGATATTGAAGGTGAGCTATCTCTATTGATGTTCTTACTTGTAATTGTCTGGTTTTAATTATGGGAATCTTGAAGTGATTTAAAAGATCCTAAAAGTACAATGTTCTTCCTTTACCCAAACTGTTCTCCGTTTTTCTGTCCTCATCATTGCTATGAATTTTAAAAACTCAGTGAAGGAAAAACATCATTGCATCCACTGCTGGGAGCTGCTCTTGCTGTTTTCATTCTGTATCTCATAGCAGGTGTTTTATAACCGGAACAGGAATGCTTTGGTCTTCTACACACAACTATAGTTACAAATGAGTCTCATAATTTTATTCTTTTCCATTCATCCTTTTTGCTTAGACAGTCGCTGAATGCCTGGAGTACTGGCTGTGAAAGGAGAGAGTCCAATCAGACAAACCTCCCAGCTCTTGTACTCACCCAAAATTCTATAATCCCAGAAAAATGCAGACATACTTTTCCATACAAAATTATTTACATAACATTGGGACAGCTCAAATTTCCATTAACAGGGAACTAGTTAAATAAATTGTGGTATCCTATCTAATAATAGACAAACATGGTAATTAACCATACCTCCGCTATGCTTCCCATTGGCTAATCAGGGCAATATGCAAATTAACTGCCAACCAAGATGGCGGCCAGCAGCCAGGCAGCTGAAGTGAACAGGAGGCTTGCTTGCTCTGGTGATGGAGGAAGCGAAGGTTCCCAGCCTGCTGCTGCCGGCCTCTGAGCTGCACTCTAAGAAACAATGTTGCAATTATAGAAGCTAAACAACCCCCAGAAACCTGCTTTCAGCCAGCCGGGCCCCAGAGCTGGAGCTGCAACAGTGTTTCAATTATAGAAGCCAAACAAACCCAGATACGTGCTTTCAGCAGCCAAGGTCTCAGAGCTGGAGCTGAGCCTCAGAGCTAAAGCTGGCTCTCAGCTCCAGTGACAGCCATAGAAGGTAAATAAATCCCAGAATAAAAAATAAAAGAGAAAAAGGAGAGGTTGGGAGCTTCAGTCACCCACCAGCCTGAAAACGGCCCTCAGCCCCTCAACCAGACTGGCCAGGCTCCCCAGTGGGGATCCCCACCCTGAAGGGGGTGTGACCAGCTGCAAACAGCCATCATCCCCTCATCCAGGCTGGCCAGGCACCCAAGCGGGACCCCCACCCTGATCCAGGACACCCTTCAGGGCAAACCAGCCGGCCCCCACCCGTGCACCAGGCCTCTATCCTATATAGTAAAAGGGTAATATGCAAACTGGCCCTAACAGCAGAAGGACTGGGAATGACTTGTCACTATGACACACACTGACCACCAGGGGGCAGACGCTCAATTCAGGAGCTGCCCTCTGGTGGTCAGTCCGCTCCCACATGGGAGGAGCTCTGCTCAGCCACAAGCCAGGCTGATGGCTGCCAGTACAGCAGTGGTGGTGGGAGCCTCTCCTGCCTCCTCAGTAGCGCTAAGGATGTCTGACTGCAGTTTAGGCCTGCTCCCCGCTGGCAAGTGGACATCCCCCGAGGGCTGCCGGGCTGCCAGAGGGATGTCTGATTGCCATCTTAGGCCCAATCCCCCGGGGAGCGGGCCTAAGCCAGCAGGTGGTCATCCCCTGAGGGGTCCCAGACTGCGAGAGGGCACAGGCCGGGCTGAGGGACCCCCACTCCCCTGAGTGCACAAATTTTTGTGCACCGGGCCTCTAGTATCTATATAATAGAACACACTTTGTAATGCAAAAATAAATAAATAAAGAGGAAGTTTTCCATGAACTGGTATGAAAAGACCGCCAAGAAAAATTGCTGAGTGAAAAACAAGCTAGTTACAGAACAGTGTATATAACAATACTAACTTCTGTAAAACAGAAAGGGAAAATATGCCGTTTTTCTGAGTACATGTAAACAGTGGGAGGCTACAGAAAAATCTAGTAAAAATGTTAGCAGGTGGGGTGGGAGGCGGGGGAACAGGGATGGACTCGTGAAGGGATGTACTTGCTACTGTTTGAGTGTGTAAGTGCATTACCTGTTCCAAAGATTCTAAGACATAAATATTTTATAACTCTTAGCTTCATAGGGTAACTAACACAAATATGGGGAGAGTCCGGGTCTGGAACTTCGTGTAAATCATTAGCCAAAGCAAGAATAGCTATTTCCAAAGACAGCCTCTTAAGAGGAAGGCCAGAGGTTGTGTAGACCTCGGTGGGGCTCATGCGGATGCTGGTGCCAGCGCACAGCAGCCGTGGCAGACTCGGGAGCAGATACTTGGGGCTCTGCTTCGTTAACCTGGATATTCATTACCTGCTGGTTCTTCCGAGTGACTTCGTTGTAGCGGCGAGGAAATGAGAACTAGCAGGTGGAACAGTCTGTCCCCAGTGCTGTGCTGAGCGGGGGACCTGGGCTCCTCTCAGGCTTCCCGACCAGACGCCACCTCCAGGCCCAGGGTCTCTCCAGTGGAGAGGGAAACAGCCTCAGGCCCTCGGGGCAGCTCTAGATGGCGAGTCTGGCCTGACCAGGAATGCGGCCTGGGGTCCGATGCCTCACGCCCAGCACCAGGCGGGCAGGCCATCCCTTTCCCTTCTCAGGTGAGAGTATCAGGAAGCTCCTGTTCAGAGGTGACCAACGTTCAGACACTCAGGCCATGTGTTTGGGAGCTCGGCTGGCAGTGCAATAAAAGTGTGTAAAGTGCCAGCGCTTCCCACCCATCCCTGTGTCCCTAAGGGATCCAAAATCCGTCCATATTCAAAAGCTTTTTTAATGTAGGACATTCTGAAAGTCAGCCTTGGTCTTTTTCTGTAGCCCCATGGTCCAGTCATTTCACATATAAGTGAGTCATTTTGATGCACAGTTCTCTGGGAAAATATTGTTTATCTGTCTCCAGTTGAGAAACACTAAGAATATAAATTTTCACTTCAGTGATCACTTAAACTAACTTTTAAACCATGTCTTTGTGCAAACTTCTGTTAAGAGCACCATAAGCACCATTACTATTATGTCTGTTTTTTTAATTCCAAATGTTCTACTATATAGTCAGATATACATTGGATGAAATTTTGAACTAAAAAATCTTCGAACTAAATAACCCCTAATAGTCCCTCCTAGCTATAGGATCCTGTGATTCTCAGCAAAGCAAATAATTAAATACATTAACTGGGTATGCACACAACCTCTTCAAGAGACATGTTCTTTTATTGTCCCATTTTACAGATGAGGAAACTGAGGCACAGAAATGTTAAGTGACTTTTCCAAGGTCACATGGTTAGCAAAGGGCAGAGGCGAAGTCTTACTTCTACATTCCTCTGCCTCGGGTAGTAAAGGAGGAGGTGGACGAGGCATGTGTGTAGGGCGGGTGAGTTAAGGTAGAAGTAGATGGAAGCAGGAAAGAACCTCAAGGGAAATAGCCACTCTGTTTGGATTTGACATGTGTAAACTCACTGTCTCTTTAAACAATGTCGTGAATTGCTAACTGATGCCAATATTTACTAGACTTGAAATTTTGTTGAAATTAAACACGGATGTTCTAGGGGAGTGTGATTTTAATTCTTGTAAAATAGAGTTCTACACTATGCTTTATAAAGAAACAGGAAAAATGCTTTTAAGCTTGATTTTCATTAGCATTAGGAACAAGACTAACTAGAGGGTGGAAGTCCAATAAGCCAGGAGCTGTGGAAGTTGGTTAGGCACTATGCTAAGTGATCCTAGAGGAAAATCCACTGAACAGATGCTAGTTTTTTGTGTGTGTTTTTAAGACATGTAGATGTGATTATTTTGAATGACAAAAAAATGTGTGTCATATAGTTTTATTTAAATAGATGTCTTTAAGACTAACACACTTTGGGATTTCCTCTGCTTGTTTTCTATATAGTACAGGTCATTCTTTGAGTTTAATCACTGCCTGGAATCGATTATGAACAGAGCGTATATCTACAGGTAAGATGGGGTCAACCATGGACAGGGTGTATATCCACAGGTAAGGTGGAGTCGATCATGGACAGGGCATATATCCACAGGTAAGGTGGAGTCGATCATGGACAGGGCATATATCCTCAGGTAAGATGGATTAGATCATGGACAGGGCGTATATCCACAGGTAAGATGGAGTCGATCATGGACAGGGCGTATATCCACAGGTAAGATGGAGTCGATCATGGACAGGGCGTATATCCACAGGTAAGGTGGAGTCAATCATGGACCATGGACAGGGCATATGTATACAGGTAAGGCGAGCTCAGTGTTTGTTGGCTGGAAGAGAAGGCAGGGGTACATTTCAGATGGAGGAATGTGACCTCCTGCAAAAAGGAGGGATCATTTCGGATTTTGGCTACATAACATGTCAGGTTATGTTCTAAAACAGACTTGAATATATTCTGAAGTGAGATGAGAGTATGGAAATCATACTGCCTAAAAGTGAGGGTGTAATTCACACCAGAGTCTGATAACTGTTTTTGTCAAATAGGACTAAAAAATAGGCCAAATTCCCGGCTTCCATCAGAACAGGTACAAATAACTGTGCTCAGTCACAGGCTGACTTCCCGTCTTCCTCATTGTCAGCCGAGTTTCATCCATTTGCTCCACTGACACTCCCGTGCATGGAGACCTCCAGCCACAGTTAATCGTAGCAGGAAGCCAGCGAGCTTTCCCGAGGTTAAGTCAGCGCGGCTATTTCATGGGACTTGAGGTGGACAGGTCACCCTGGGGCACGTCTTTAGGGAGCAGATCCATAGCATCTGCAGAAAGAGAGGGAGGTTTTTACTCTGTCAGTGCTCGTCGGGACACCCAGTCAGAGAACGTGCCTGGCTCCATCCTGTCACACTGCCGCCTGGGAGTTAACGCCCAGATTTGGAGCAAAGAGACTCGGCGGCAATGGTCAGAAGAAGGAACCGCTAGCCAGGCTGCGCTCGGAACAGCCCGTGTCCCTGCTCTGCTGTCCCCCACAGGGTCGCTCGGACGGCGGGCTGCTTGCTGTTTGCTCTGCATGTGAATGCTTGCATCTACTACTGGGCTTCCGACCACCAAGGCATCGGAACCACCAGATGGGTGTACAATGGTGAAGGAAACATGTGAGTTTTCATTTTGAAGGAAACTTTTATTGCCTTCTTCACTTTCTGTTTCAGTGTAAGAGTCTTGTAAAGCCAGTGTTTTTGAAACTGTAAGTCACAACCCATCAGTGGGCAGTGAAAACGCTTTAATGGGATATTTTCCATGAAAGAAGGTCAAGTAGAGGAGGACAGAATAGGAAATATTAGAGTCTGTCATATCTAGTAGGGGTGCATATGCGTGTGCATGCGTGTGTATACGTGTATGCATGTGTGTGTCCGTGTGCACACGTGTGCATGCATGTGTGCACTTGTGCTTACTCATCCTGTGCTGACCCAGGAAGTGCATTTCTTACTCTGCATCATGACCAAACAAGTTTGAAAGCCTCTGCCTCAGACAGCTGAGGGCCAGGTAACGTTCAGTCACGGTGCGGATCTTTAGGAGTGAACTGTGTCAGTTGTTTGGGGGGCAGGGGAGGGCTCATTAGTTGACCACCGAAGGGTTATATGGGTTATGGGTCAGCTATGACCACTCACTCAAACACTCAGAGAGTCACAAGGACTCTGTTCAACTTGATGATTAGACAGGCAGGACCCCAGGAGAAAGAGGTCATCTGGCAGTGTCAGGGAGCGGATTCGGGACTCAGTGATGGTACTAGGGTACTCACCGTGAGACTCCCTGGGGGCAGACACAGGGCCCGGCTCAGTCCCCTCCACTCGCTTTCTGCGCCAGTGAAACGACATTAGAGGCAACGTCCTTGCCGGAAAGAGCAGCCCCAGCGTGGCTCTGATGGGCAGCCCACGCGGCCCTCGGGAGGAAGGCACTGACCGGTACCGCAAACAAGGGAGACACCTCACCGCTCACACGCCACCTACAGAGAGTAGGATGCGTGTAAGGGATTAGAGCAACAATTTTGAACTTTTAACCCAAACTGATTTTATTTTTTTATTTTTTATTTTTTTTAATAATTTTTATTTCTTAAAGTATTACAAAGAGTATTACATATGTCTCCTTTTTCCCCCCCTTGACATTCCCCCAGCCTCCCTTACCCCCTAGTGTCTTGTGTCCATTGGAAGTCCTTCGGTTGATCTCTTAACCCCACTCCCAAACCCTCCCCAGGCTTCCCACTGTAGTTTGACAGTCTGTTCAATGCTGCTCTGCCTCTGCATCTACCCCTGTTCATCAGTCTATACTGGTCCCCATTATCTGTCCCAACCTCACTGGAGCCGTCCCAACCTCACCGGGGCCGTTTCGTCCTCACCGGGGTCGTCCCGACCTCACTGGAGCCGTCCCAACCTCACCGGGGCCGTTTCGTCCTCACCGGGGTCGTCCCGACCTCACTGGGGCCGTCTCGACCCTGCCGGTGCTGTACATCGCCAGGGCCGTCCCGACCTCACCGGGGC